TTGAAATATTTCTGATTGCCCCGTGGGCAAAACCCTACTTAATAGGGCATCTCTGAATCTTCACCAAATGTGAGAGACCTGGGGACTGGAGGGGACTGGGGACAGAGCTGAGGAAGCAACCTCCTCCTCCTGCCAAAAGGTGGTCACAGTGCCTCAGAGAGTGAGAAAAGGGATCCTAGAGACCCCTGGGAATGCTATCCTCGGGCTGCATCTGGAAGGGGGTTAATAAAGCCATCTTCCCATGGTTTGAGTTCCTAGACCTCAGGCAGTTGTCCCATGTCTACTGAAAACACAGACAGCACGGGTCTGCCAACAAGCTGCAGCCCTTGAACTTGCAGTCATTCTGATGTGGACTCCGTACCCCACTGGCCTGGGAAAATCCTGCAGTGGGAATGCAGGTCTGGGGTGCTCTAGCTGACTCAGGCAGAGTCCTCCTATAGGCTTCATGTGATTGGAATCTTAGGAAATTGTCAGTAGCTTTATTTTAAAAACTCATTCTTAAAGAAGAATTGTGTTATTAAAGTTCTCTATAAAAAAGTACAAATAGCCCAGTATATTCAGTTCTACTGGAATTACCAAATTAATTTCTTCCTTAAGGTTAAAAAAAGTCTTTGGAACTTGTGGGCTTTAGTGTAGGGTCATTGTAAGGCTGTTTGATTACTGAGTTATTAACTGACCTACATGGTTATTAACTGACACCTGATCATACAGACAAGAGGCACAGGGGTCACAGTCATTCACGCTTTTAACCCTCCCAAAGAGTCCCTGACATTATGGAATTAACAAATTGTGGTTGACACCACTTCTAAACGACTGCCTTCATCCATGACTAGTTCAGGTAACCTTTCCCAGTTTTCTGGATCTTCTAACAGCAGAAATACAATAGCATTCCCTAGATTTGCTGCATCAGCCCAAATGGGCAATGACAGGCATGTTGACTATCCAGCATATTTCATAAAATGTAGCCCATGCAGCTCAAGGAAAATGGTTTTTAAAAATATTTCCCTGCAATCCTTGTCAAATCAGTGTGCAGTGCCCTTTTCCTTCCTTGTAACTGTCAAGCCTGTCACTATCCCTGTAACTCTCATGGCCATCACTCTTTCAGGCCCCTGGCTCAGTGTCCCTTTCGTGATCATGTGCTCAGTGGGGACCAGGCGCTCCTACCCTTGCTGGGTTATAAACAGGAAATGGTGTGCTATGTATACACAAGAACCAGGCGACTTCACAAGACCAAAGTGAGAAAATGACTGTCAGATGGTGTCGCCTTCCTGGGGCTTTTAAAAACCTGTTTCTCACTTCTTCCCCCTCTTCAGGACTGAGAAGAAAAATCCCAGCAAAAAGCCCTCGAATTTCTCTTGCTAAGTGGAACCACGGGGGAACTGCTGTGTTGTTTTCGAAACATCTTTGTCTGTCCTTAGCTGTTATAATTCTTCGCAGGAAGTCACAGAGAAAAATGGGAGGGTGGGAACCTACTGGCTTCCAGGGTCCACGGGATGGTCTGGCTCTGCCCAGAGAACTGCCAGCCATTTCAAGGTAGAGAGAGGAAGGAGGCTTCTAGCAGCTGGATGCCAGAAGGATGTTGCTGGCATTTGGGAGGTGTTTTCTGAGGAGGAACGGACTATGTCCCTGACAAAAAACACTCCTAAGAACCAGCACAGTGACTTCCATCTGCACCAATAACCTCCGATGGAAAGCCATTGCAAATAGCAGCACCTTCCTCTCCTGCCTGTTGCAAGCATCTGGGTGGCTCTCTTGGGGTCTGCACCCTCCTTCCAGCAAGTCACCACACTCTCCTAAGGACTTTAGCTCAGAGAAGTGCCCCACAATTGTTTGCTTGGTTGCATTAATCTTGGTTTTTCATAATCTTTCAACCAACTATTTTAGGCCAAGTTTCCAAAGAGCTCTTGACCCCCAATTTTCTGCCAAAATTCCTAATAAGAAAACCTAGGACAGACAGTGATTCTGCATTAACTCATACTAGGCCATAGGGATAAAAGAGAAGTGGGCGTGTTGAGCAGCAATCATTTCGGATCCTGGGGTTTCATGTCTACCTCTGAGTTAGTTCCTGCCTGGGTGGGAGTCTCCCTTTAACCTCTGAGGGCTGCACCTGGCAGCAGGGTCCAGCTACTTCCAGTCAAACCAAGCACCTGGTGACTTTTGACAAGGTGCCAAGAGGAGGGCAGCCAACCACTGGCCTGCAGCCTCAGGGGGAGTTTCTGCCACAAGCAGCAGCCACCTTCCGAGGGAAAATAATGCAAAGTAATCTGAATGGCCTTTTGTGCTCACAGCCTGGAGGTCCTGCAGAGAGCTGTATTGTGCTAAATTCTGCAGGGGGGTGGGGAGACAGAGCTCCATAGGCCCTGGCAAGACCACCTGCTCCGGGGCAGGTCTTCCTAAACAGTCTTCCAGGGACTTGACTTTTCGGGGCCAGCCTACAACTTGGTTGCTGCAGTTAAAGCCGCCTGTTCTCTGCCATTTCATGTCACACAACATCCATGATGAGCGACAAGGACGCAGAATTTTCTATGTCAATTCTGCGGGCAGCAGTTGTTAATGCTTATTCACAGGAGTTAGTCTTTCAGCAATAACTGTCTGGGGCTGCTCAGATCTTTAAAGCATTAACCTTTATCTGAATTCCATACTCAGCAATGTGTAAAACAGGCTCATCATGGTAACACGCCACTGGGCCTGATTTTTACTGTTTTCCCCCAGAGCCTGCTGTCCCTCAGGCAGAGTGCTGGCCCCAGAGTCAGGGTATTTTCTTTGAAAACTTTGCCACACAATCTGAAAGAATATGAGCCAGCTGAGACATTGAATATGTTTTCTGGAGAAATATGAGTGAGTGAGTGTTGGCTGTTGGAGGGCAGCTGGAGCCTGCTGCCTGTTTACCACCAGTAGGCAGCTCGGGGCACTGGAGTGAATGGCCCCAAGTGTTCCTCTGTGGAACCTTCCTCACCTCCTGGGGCCTGGCTGGGGATTAGTCCTACTGCCGCTCCAGTCTGGGGCTGGCCCTTTTGCCTCCTAAGCTCTTACATAAACTGGTCCCTTTTCCATCAGGCCAAATGAGGTGTCCCTGGTGAGGACCCGTCCTCAGCATGTGCACTGAGCAGCAGCACTGCAGGGATAGATGAGCAGGGCCCTTTTTGAGTTTTCAAGTCTACAGTCCATTAAAGATGGCAGCGGAAATTGCTCTTTGCTGGTCTGGCCCATTCCCTGCTCCCTCTCTCCCTCCAAGCAGGGATTTCTAGGACGGGCTGGGCCTTCCACCTCAAAGACCCTTCAGTGGTCATATGCCACATGAACTTCAGGCAAGCAGCCGGAGAGTGGAAATAAGGAGTGCTTAGCTGGCAGGTGCTCTGGGAGGAAACAGAGCAGCTCTCTGCAAGGACTGAGAGCTACTTTCACTTCGACTTCTTCTTGATGTTGCAGAAGCCTGGCTCCTCTGGGAGCCTTGCAACGTGAGGGCATCTCACCAGAGAGGTGCAGAATGGAAGTCAAGAGACTGGAAAGGCCAATCCTAGCAACAGCTGGAAGAAACTCTGCAGCCTCTAGAAAGAGTCTGCTGGTACCTGCAGGGACGACTGTGCTCACGGCTCATACACGGTCTGTCTTGTGAGGTTTGTACATGCTGGAGCAGACAGTGGGTGGTTCCCAGGGCAGCAGGAGGGACCCCATGCTTCCCGTGTGTCCAGGTACACATGGCAAGAAGGGAGTCTTCCTGTCCCTCCCACCCCTGGGGCCCCAGCAGTCACAAGGTTGAAAGGAATAAAACAAACACAAACACACAGAGTTCAGTCCGGGCGCTGTGACAACACCACAGGTGCACAAATATATAGGTATACTGGAACGAGACACTTCCCATTGTCACCAAGAGGAAGAGTGGCAGGGGAACCGAACAGAAGATGGCATTAAGGAGCTAAGAGAGTCTCGTCTCGAACATAATCCCACAAACAGAAGTAGAATCAAATATACATATACGTATATAGTAAGAGCCTAACTGATCATGTAAAGTAACCATTCATTTTTGAAATTAGATCTACATTAAAAAATTAATATATCCGGTATAGTGCCAATGTGCGGGGGTGGGGGATGGGCAGAGAAAGCACAGCAGCGAAGGATTAAGCTCAAACTTAATCATAAAAGCAGATTAGAAACAAGAACCTTCACAAATATAGCACAATTGTGTCTTATAAAATTTTTATAATACTCTCTTTATACTTGATATGATTATATCAATAATGTAGATTCACTTGTTATTAAGGTTTGTTATAGGCATGCAAAATTCATTGCATGATGCATTTGCAAAACATATTAAAATCCTTCTAGCAATAAAACATCTTTGAGCTGATATGGACCCAGGTTCCCTGATTCTGCAGCTCCGGGAGTGTCATTCAACATGAACTGGAAATGGCAACCAAAACCATATTGGTTTTCATCCCTAACGTCAAGGGCTAGAGAAGGGAGGAAAATCAATCAACAGGGACTGATGCTAGAGCCGACATGTTGATTAAGTCACTGTACATCGTACTTTCATAAACGACACTGCAGCCTATTAAATAAATAAGTACAAAAGGGGCCGGGGTGAAAACTTCAGCTTCTTGGGAAGGGTAACAACATAAGTAGCAAAATATTGGTGTTGCGGGGGGGGGGGGGGGTTGGG